AATAATCAATATATATATATAAAAAATATATATATATAATAAACCAGTTGTCAGATAAACATATTAAGAGACTTAAAAATCTGTCACTTTGTAGGCACTCACTGATTTCCAGATTAAAAAGAACCTATTTTTTTCAGTGGTTGAAAACTTCAATCATAGAGATCAAAGAAAAATTTTTGCTAAACTACAGTTATTTATTTTGATTTCAAATATCCTCAAATTAATAATAATTATACCAACATTACTGTAAACTTTACATTTGTAAATCTCTCATGTAAAGTGTTATCAAATGCTTGACACTTTTGACACTTATTATTGAGTTGCGAGGATCGCGGTATCATTTGTTTTGCTGTGATGTCATACCATCGTCTTGATAGAGGAATCCCGTCTCCACCTAATTTTTAACAATGAATTCTTGTAAAAAAAACATTTGTTCTCATTTAAATTATTGAAAATATTTATTTATGATATGAAACGAAAACTAAACAAACTACTGTAATTCAATGTACTAACCTAAAGGTTTTCTCGAGGGTCATACAGACAGTTAAGAATCGCCTCTGATGGTAATCCTATCCTGAATGTCATTCAATCATCAACAAAATCAAACTATTTCAAAGTTCAGTTATAATTTGAAAATTCAGAGACATTCCCTTTCTGTACATGTAATGAAGAAACCTAGGAAAACATTGAAATAAAAAGTATGGATTCAGAATAATGTTCTCATGGACAAGTTAAGATGAGACTGTGTAAAAAATGGTTCAGAGCCTATTATAATTTACTATTATGTTTTCTTATTGTAATGTGTCCCTGTGCATGAACATCAACTTATTTTAGTTCGAAAGAGTACCCACTCCACTCAACTGGTGCACAGGCATTGTAGTATATGTACTGCTGTAAGTGGAGGGAGCCAAATCTACTGATGGTCTGTAATGATTATGGATTACAGCTATCTAACTTATCTATAACTTTTATCGTGCTAATTATAAACAAACAGGTTGCCTAGAGCTAATTATATAAGAATTGGAAGGTAGTGTTCTGACTCTCCTGCAGTCCAATATGTTTGACAGCCGGGGGCCCTTGTCTATCCAGACATCAAAGGTCCACCGCAAACACACGGGGGAACATCTTCTCAAGATCATTTTTCATACAAGTAACTTTATTCATAGTTGAAAAGATCTCAAAGGTTTTAGTCTAATTAAAATGACAGAATATGTATTCGAAAAAAGTACAGACCTGTCGGTTTCTGCTCCGGCGATGCTGTCTTTACGATATGACAAAAAAAAGGAGACAGCACTGCGATTGTCACAACACAAGCACACAAGGGAAGAACAGTTCGCGTCACCATACTGACCATTCGAAAATAACATATCCAAAGAACAAAACATTAAGCTTTTTGGAATTAAAACATATTTCCATGTACTGCTGTCCACGTTTCAACACTTCCGTAATCGATTTTTAATCCAGGCCATACAAACCCTGCAGAAACAGTCGACACGCATTTGCTTCTCAGATTTCCTCGGATATTATCCTCTCATCTGTGGAAACTCCTCTGTGTATAGAGATATGTATGAACAGTCCAGAGGAAGTCCGAAAAGTGTGTATCCATTTGTTAGTTTTGGCGACTGCAAAATACATCATACATCTTAAACAAGATATCGCACGAGTTGATAGCAAAAATTGTAAATCGAAATGAGTTAATATAATTTTCTAAAGCCAGTAACAAACTATCACTCGCTACAATAGAGAATGGACACTTTATTATAAGACATACAGGATGAAAGTGGGGAGTAAATTCTTTAGATCTAACAGCAAATAACAGCTAAATAGGTAAATTTCATTGGTCAAAAGTTCCACGTTGAAATTCAGCAATGGCGGCCCCCAGGCCAGGCAAGTGCAAACCCACTAAAATTGTTTTACGTAAATAGATTAATCTTAGATTGATTGACATTGTTTTGTTTACCATTCATGCATAATAAATAAATATGTCTCTGTCTGACCGACATTATGGGCATGTCTAATGTAGTATATGATGTTAAACACAAAAAAATGTTTATTCCAATGATCTGAAACTCGTCATTTTGTAAACAATACCATAGAAATTATTAGACTTTGTCAATTATTCTCTAATTCAGTGCAGAAATCTTATATATGTTTTCAGTATATATTTGGTTGATTATTTTCATCCATAATTGAAGAAAATGCCAATTGACCTCTCACCATCGGTATTCCAATATTCATCGACGTGTATGTGAATATATACGGGGATAAAGAAACGCAGGGTAAACTTCGAAGATAATTCTAGCCAAGACGTTGGGTATAATGTTCAATATTTTAAAGTAAGAATGGAGATTTAATCCATACAGAACAAACTGCAAAATCAATTATTTGTGTCTGGTAAGTGAAGTAGCAGTAATTGAAGGGAATTGAAAAAGAACTATGTAATCTGAAATAAAATGGACTGATTGTTGGAGCTGGCTAGTCAATACCGGGTATGTCCCCCATTTGTTCTACCTACAGTCCTGATTCTCCTAGGCAAGAAGTTCATGGGCGAGTTTATCCTCCTCATTGGAATGTTGGACCATTCTTCAAAGAGGGCTGCTATCATTTGGGCCAGAGTAACAGGGGAAGGCTGGTGTCGTTGAACTTGTCTATCCAGCTAGTCCCACAAGTGCTCAATGGAGGTAGATTGGGGCAGTGTGGTGGCCAGTCCAGTGGGTGGATATTGTTGTTAGTGAGAAAGTCGTGACAGATCCTTGCTACATGAGGCTGAGGATTATCCTACTGGAATGTGAGGTTGTTTTGCTGCAATAATGAGACAACATGGGGTAGGAAGATCTCATCTCTATACCTAGCGGTAGTTGAATTACCTGCTACCACAACCGGTGGTGATTTAGCTCAATGTGAGATTCTTCCCCACACCATAACCGATCCACCCCCAAATTGTCTCTACTTTGAAGCAGTTGGCAAATCATTCTCCATGACGTCGATATACACAATGTTGAGCGTCTGCTCGGAACAGGATGAACCGGGACTCATCAGTAAACAAGACCCGCTTCAATGGGAATATTCTGGAGGCATGTGCTGCCACCAAAGCCATACGATGCTGTTGACGAGCAGTGGTTAGGGGCAGACCTACAAACAGGTGCATACCAGCAGACCAACTTTACGCAATTTTTTTTTCTTACAGTTGTTGCAGATAGAGCGGTTATGAGTACCTATGGTATGAAGGGCAGATTCAGTGGCGTTAAGGTGACGATATTGCAATACAAATAAAGCTGTTCTGATGTTGTGATGTCACATGTGGATGCCCAGACCTAGGTCTATCAGCAATCCGCCCAGTTTCTCTTAGACATCAAACAAGACAAAATTTTTCTGTTTCATGCTTTCCCAAGAAAACATTGTCACACAGTAAAATAACGCAACATTCGATGCACTGTAACCTAGAGAATTGCTTGACCGATTTTTGTTGTTTTTGAATGTTTTCACAAGATATTGCAAATAATGTCACACTGCATTTTTTTTATATTCCTTGAGTATATGACTTATCTAAAATGTGTTTCTTATTTTATCTCCATAACAGGAAACCCTGACAGGGGATGGAATGACCCACCTGTGTTCAATTATAGCCCTAAGACGTCGGGACAGGTATCGCCAAGGGGGACAAAACTTAACAAACGTGTAGCTTACACAGGTGGAGCAGTAAATACCAACTCATCAACAGCGATTAAAGGAGAAGGTAAGTACATTGGTACAAAAATGGAGAAGAAAATGACATGACAAAATTTTGACAATATTTATTTATTTTTTTTTTTTTTTTCATATTATTCAATAAAAGTGTATGTACATCACTACATGGCAATGTAATAGTTTGTGTTCAAACATGAAAAACATTTTTTGAAATGAAGATATTATTGATTCAGTCTAACATCAGATAATGTTTTGAATTTTACACTGAGTGTCCTATGAAATCTGGATAATAATGAAGTAAATTCAGCACTTATTTTGTATTTTAACATAACTTAATAGGATTATAAAAAGTTTGCACATTTCCCTTACATTAATCAAGGTAAACCTGATTATTATAATTTATTGATTAAGAATATCATTAATTTCATATCTGTTTACTTTGTCTGTTCAGGTTCGGGAACTCTGCTGAACTCTGCCAATGGACCTCCCATCTCACCTGTTCAACTGCTTCCTCCGATACAGCTTTTGCCCCCGACAACCAACACTACCCCATCTGCCCCTGTACCCCTTTTGATCCCTATGATGAGTCCTACTGCTCACAACTCATCAAAGACGGAATCGGACAACACTTCTTCAGCATCAGATGTGGAGGAACTTGAAAAGGCCAGAATGTTAGGAAATTTGAAAAGTGATGATGAACTTTTTGACAAAGTTCAAAAAAGAATTGATATAGAATTTGAACGGTGCTTACCAAGACTACAGGTATTAAAAATTGGATTATACCATAAAAATTTACAACCTTTTATATACTGTTGATGACAAAGACAACAAATCTGTAAATTGTTGCAAACTTTATGAAAGTTGATATTATTATTCTTCAAACATTATCAGCGTAAGGGACCAAAACATCAAATAAACAGTATCATGATTGACAATTTTTTATTAGCGGAGCTTATTATGCATGACAATCTTTGCCCTTTAATTCAGCATCACTTAGGCAGACACTCACATGTTCATTTAGCAATGTTACAAAGTTTTGATAGTAGTTTAGAATAATAATGTTGCGCAGTGATAACACAGAGATTTTTCATTAGGAGACTGGGGTTCCATTTCCTGATCAACCGTGAAAAGGTATTGGGTCACGTGTCAGAATCTGTAGGTATTTATGGGGTATATAGTGACACTCTATTTTCCTTCTGGTGCTAAGACCACCAACAAGAGCTGTTCATGGAAACTGATATGTTTTGTTTCACAATTTAAAAAAAAAGTAATTGATAATTCATTTTATGGAGATAATCTGAGTTGTCTCCCTTGATACCACAGGGCCGTGCAGCAGAAGATGTCAAAAGAAAATTACATATTTTGAAAGAAAATTGGAAAGATAAAAAGTTGTCCAATGAGGTTCAATTTAGAATATGGAAAATACTTGAAGGTACAGTATTGGTTTGACTTACAGGTATTTATTTTTTTAAATGTTTTGCATTAAGTCATTGTCAAAAAAAAAATTAAAAAATCATCATCACAAAAGCACACACCAGAGTTTCTTTGATTTGGGAAAGAGAAAAAAATGTTTTACTTAGTTAATAATTTTTTTAATTTGTGTACATTTTCTTTTGTTTAGATTTAGAAAACAAGGAATTTGACAGGGCATGGGAAGGTCACCTTTCTCTTATGGTCGACTACACAGCTGAGGTATTGGATTCATATGATATGTGTGCCAATATTCTTTTCAGAAGTGCATTATTTCTGTATGAGTCTTACAAAAGTCATTGTGAACAAGCTTGTTCCTGATATCCTCCCATTTCAAATTTAGGGGAGGGAAAAATAAGAAAAATTGTGATTTATTTATATCTAAAACTTAAATATTTAAAATTTTTGAAAAACAGTTGATGTCATTTTAACAAAATTGGTTGTGAGTATCTGATGTCGATATCATGAAAGATAATGAAACAAATTCTTAAGTTGTTTATCTAAAGAATATGGCAGATAACATGTATTTTACTGGAGGAAAACTGAATTATCTCCCTTATTGTCAGGTTGGCCAGTGGCTGGTTGCAGTTAAACGAATTATTCTTGAGAATCGGGAAATGAAGAAAGAGACTGAAAGTTCTTTGGTAGAGAAGACGAATAAAGATTTAGAATCAGATTCTACTTCTGCCAATCTAATTGATGTATCTGATCCTAAGATATCCTCCAGTAGTGTTTTATCACAGGATGATTGTACAGGAGGGAGTGGAGACAGAATAGGATCCTCTGTTGATGGTTGATTTAGTACTTTACAATACTTCAGCAATGTTTCCCCTTAAACCATGGCATGAATATTAACATATGTTTAATCTGAAAACTTTCCAGGAACCCTTAAAGACCTGATGAATAGATATTAGTGATGTTATTTTAAGTTTGTTGATCAAACTTTTGTCATTTGTTTTTATTTCTTGTTGATTACAAAAATTGCTGTGCTGACAGAAAAAGATATAATATTTTATTTTCTGATATCTCAATTATATCTAAGACATTGCACTTTGTGATTTCATACCATCATGTAACAGTTGAATATCACTGTAGGTTATTACACTAGAGAGTATATAAATATTTACATTTGTTAATGTAATATTTCAGTTGAAGGGTTTTTGTATTTGCTGGCAAACCAATTAATTGAACAATATACTTATTAAAGTTATACAGTTTACCCCATTATTGGCCAACACACCTTAAGGTTATAATAGGAAATCAATGTTTGTTGACAATTGAAACCTGAGAGAATGATTATCATGGTAAAAATCAGTCACTGTCGCTTCTTTCTGCCATCATTTTCTGTGACATTATTAAGTGATTAGCACTATTAAGTCAGACAAAATAGGGATTTTTGAAGGTGTTAAAACTAATCGGTGTACAAAATGACTTTGATTACTCTTCAAAATCACAGAGACTTGCCACAAATTCCCAATATATATATTTATATTGTATCAAGGGTAGTAACATGACCCTAAAGGGAAATCTACCAATTGTTTTTTTAAATTGTATATTTTGTTTTTTTTTCTCTCTCTCTCTCTCTCTCTCTCTCTCTCTTTTTCATATTAACATTTTGAATTAATTCATTACAGTTTTATAGTTGAGTGCAGCTTCTAAGTATTCAATCCCCGAAAAATGAAACAATTCAAGATTATAGAAATATTTACATAGATTTTTAAGAAAATTTCAATTTATTTGATGTTATATTTTTGAGATATGAATTATTAAAATCTTGACCCAGGTTTTATGGCAGGAGCCAGAGCCTGGTACATGATTTCATACTCAATGAAAAAAAAAAAGATTCTATGTAAATAAGAATAAGGATAAACTGACTTTTGAAATTTGTGGCAGTAAACTGTGATTTTTTATGTCACAAATGTCCATTTTACTGTTACCACATCATGCTGGCATTACAGTAATTTTGCAGCAATATAATCACAATTGACTGCCTCAAATTTGAAATGGTTATCCTCATTTGTCTTAATCACAGTACCGATAAAATTCCAGAAATGTTGACCAGGCACTAACATTTAGATTACCATATGCTGTAATTCTAGATTTTTAGGATTCAAATGATGAGAAGAATATATCCGTGATGATATAATACCTCTATTTTACCATTGTGATAGGGAGGTAGTAAAGTGTTGATGTTTTATGGATGTTTTGTTAACTGTAAATAGGATTTTGGATAAACATGAATGAATAAAATTTAGTGTTCTGTAACAATTATGTTAAGTGGATTTAAATAATGCTCAGTTTAGGTTTTTTTTCACTGTCAGACAGATACAGTTTACAATTTCTGTCTTAATCCTTTCTTTCTTTTTTTTTCTGAAGGAAGAAACTCGCTTCAACTTGCCTCAAAAAACAATTGTAATACTGAAAACTGATCTGTTGTATTGACAGTGTTAGCCTGTTATGGTAGGATAAAGTTAGAAAGTTAGACAATTACCAGCTTTATTGTAGTTATCTTGACAAACCCTCAGTTTCTAGTAATTTACACCATCTGTCCTTGGTGAAAATGATGGGAAAATTTCAATTTTACCGTACTATATGTATGGTAAGTACATCAATATCACTTTGTAAGTTTTTGTAGAAAATTCCTGTTTAGCTCTTATTAATGCAGAGTTATTTGCTCCTGTGAGCGGGTATTGGTTGTTGGTTCATTTGCTTTTGAGAGTTACAGAATAAATATCTCTGGCAAATTAATGACATAACTATCAATACCTGCTATGATAAGAGCAGATAACTTGGAAATACGAAAAGACAGAATACATATTGACAATATGAAGAAATTTTTTATACATCAATTTTCTTTCCATATTCATTGAAAATTGTATTACGTCTGTTATTCTGAATCTATTTAATGGATGTATGAAAAAAATATTTTGGAGACTAATTTTTTTCTTACTCACTTTACAGTTGTCCTCAGGTAGGAATGGTAGACATTCATGATCAGATATAATTTTTTTATACATATTATTCATAAATAAATCTTTTTTCTCTGAAAATGTTCATAGAAATAAAAAGATAACTCAAAAAGTGCTCCAAAACCTCAATGCAGTTTGAAAATTAAAGAATGAATTATTGTTGGATCTAAAAATCAGTTGAATATTTTGGTTCAGAAAATAAGAAAATCATTTTTAACATTTTACTTTGCTGCTTAAATCATAAAAAAGATGACATCAAAATATTTTTTGTCAAAATTTATTTGAAATGCTGCTAGGATCCTTATAATCATGCAGGCATTTATATACGCAACATTCTTGTGAATAAAATTGGAATTGGGCTAGGCTTTTAACACTTAACAGTTATATCGAGTATACTTCAAATTGTGTTGGTAAGTCATTTACAATTGCTGAACATAGAGATTGAAATGTTTATTTTCTTTCTTCTGTTCTAAAGTTCAACTGTTATAGTTATTTGAGGATGCTTAGAGACATGGAAGTGGAGTTTTTTAACTACAGCTAAAATAGCTAAAATTGTATAACAGAGACTGTTTCCTTCAGAAAAATGACTTTGTAGTGTGGTAATTAATATATGGGAAGTGTATGACACTGGAAAACTATGATATTTGAATGTATATGTAATATATTGTTAAGATATACATGTGCTAGAAAACTTTCAAACTGCCTGATATATTGCCTTCACTAGAAAACTGTATTAAATGTGGTGGATGTGTGGTATAGTTGTGTAAAGTGATATTTAGAATATCAATTTCGTGGAATAACAAAATCCCAGGCATTTCAATATGTCTGTAATGTGGGATAACGGTGTACTAGGATACTGCAACTTAATGGTGCTGGCTACTTAATAGAAATTGGACTTTATTCAGTATGTGTACTGGTATATTTAGTTTCCTCTAGCCGTGTAGTAGTGATGTGATAATGTACATTCTGTACATTTCTGTGATTTTACAAGAAAGTTTTATCTTACAGAAAGGACGTTCTGAACACAGAAACGGTTACATGTCTAGTCATCTAAAGGCTGTGAAATAGTTTTGTAATGACACAAACTACTGCAAATAAATTTTTAATACTCAATTAGAGTTTTGGTTAGTCATTTAAGCTGATTACATATGTTAAGTGATTTGCCTTCTGTTTAACTGGATCACTAATAAACTTTCAGTGGTGACATTATGGTAAATGTCATGATAGAAAGGTTGAATGGATCTGTGTTGTGATATCACATGATGAAACAAAGTTCATTGTGTCAAGAATAGTTATTAATGTAATAAACATAATTGATTTATACAGTTTTCAGATCGTTGAATTGGTTTCTTTACCAGTCGAAATATCTTTTTTTATAAGTAAATGTCATAAATATTCTCTCAAATTTGAGTTTTAAATGACATGCCCATCGAAATATTATATGCCTGTTGAAGTACATTTTCACCAAAGTCGACAAAGCTATTGCCTACCAAACAGTGAGTGCACAAAGGAAGATTGTTAGGTATTGACCATTATACATGTGTTTGCATTTTTATTTCCATTTTAAATCTGCATGTGGTTTAATAATCCCCTAACGCTGAAAAAAATGGAGGGGGAGGGAGGGGGCAAGGTCAGGGTCACTGTAACTTTTGAAAAATCATTGTCAGAGTGCTTAGCTTTAGCAGCTTTGTATGTTAAAGAATTATCATGCAACTTCACACACTTAATATATTCCTTCAAGATCTGTAGACACCTTAAGATCAAATTGTAAAACAATGAAGTAGATGTTTGCTGTTTCTGTTTTTCAATCCAGTAGTAGTTTCAGAGATATTTCATGATTTGGGCAATACTGTCTGTAGATATTCTGAGATAGAATTTGTTTGGCAGGTGGACAACCCTACACTTTGACTTGAGAATGAATGACCTAACTAAAAATTGGTCAGTTGTCAGTATGACTGTCATCACTAATACTACTGAAGTGTGGAGGAACTGTCATAAATATTAGAGAACCTGAGAGTCTAGTACTCTAGTAGTCCTTAACCTTGGGGTTATTGTCCCTAATAATACTTAAACCGAGGGTATCAAATTATACTTAACCTCATGATTATTATCTCTTATAACACTTTATCTGAGGGTTATTGTCTGTAACACTAATTAACCTCAGGGTTTTTGTTTCTAATAATGATTAAAGTCAGGGTTATTTTCTCTAATAGTACTTAAACACAGGGTAAGTGTTTCTGATAATAGATAGATTCAAGATGATTACTAGGACAATACTCAAACCAAATGATATTGTGACTATTATTACTTAAACCTCAGGGTTATTGTGTCTAATAACACTTAAATCCAGGGTTGTTGGGTCTAATAACACTTAACTCTAAGGGTTGTTGTGGCTAGTAACACTGAACTCTCAGGGTTATTGTGTTAAACATACTAATACAAACTCCCAGGTTTGTTGTGTCTAATAACACTTAACTCTCAGGGTTATTGTGTCTAATAAGACTTTAACCCAGGGTTATTGTGTCTAATAACACTTTAACCCTGGGTTATTGTGTCTAATAACACGTTAACCCAGGGTAGGGTTGTTGTGTCTAATAATACCTACATTTAGGATTATTGTCAGTGTAAATGTAATACACTTTCAACAAAAGAAAATAATTGCGATTGCACGGATATTGACCCTCACAAAATCTCAAACCAGTAAAACTGATATGAGTAATCATTCAAACTGATGCGGAGTACGAATGTTATTTAAAAAAAAAAAACAGGTGTGAGTGCAAAGTATTTTGATGTTACAATAGTACAAAAATCATTCGATGTTTTAATATCTAATCAGGTCAGTCATCACTGAGTACGAAAGTCCTTTATGTAACCATAATAAGTATGACTGCACTTGATCACCTAGTGACATATATATCCGTGACTTAGTACTACAGTAGTTTAAGGTGATAACTTTCACGCCTAAATCTCATTCATCATTAGATCACGCGGTTGGAACAATTGAGGACAGCCTATATATAACATAAAATGATTTTACTACTTAACCATGTAGGAGGATAGTTTTATAGGGTTCATAATGTTTAATAAGTTGAGATTTTTAATGAGCTGAGACTTTTTTTAGATACATTCTACGGCAGACTATACCACATATCCTCAGCTCTACTGATGAATACGTTCTTGGTGGTATACTGTGTGTACCTGATAGAACACCTCGACGAAGGTTTCGTTCACGTTTTTACTCTCCTCTAGTAGAGGTATCCGAGGCTTAGGTAAAAAGATGCCCTTTTCTACAATAGCATTGCTTTTCACAATTTTAAAAACTTGTTCGATACATGCCCGTGGTCTTTTATTCTCTTGGTAGCTGTTTAAACACAGACAGATATAACGTGTTAGATATGTCTCCGACACAACCACTCATGTGTTGACTGAATTTAAGCTTATGACAGAAAGGAGCATCAAGTTTTTTCCCGAACGATATTATTGTTGTTATTTTTTCGGGAATTTGAAATACACGTGATTTATAAATACAAATCTTTCTGATAGATAAGCTATGGGCATTCAATGGGCATACAATGATTGTATTGAAGAAATTCACCAGGGATGTCCTTTTTAGCTCTACTATTCCCTGACTGTAGTAGTTGATGGTTGTGTCATTTGTTCAGTTTATTTCGAAGAGGCAGTACTCTAAAGTAAAAAAAGGCAAGTGACTTTTGCAAAATTAACAAAATCGCTGCAAAAGCAGTGATTCAATGTTTGCATAAGAACGGTCTTGCACTTGAAGATATATTCATACTGATCATACAAAATGAACATATCTAGAAAAAAATAAATATAAAACAGCAAATTAAATGCGAACTGGATTCTCATATTACAAAGATAACGTTTTCGTCTAGTTGCGTTGATGAAGCAGAAGGCGCTTACTCTTCCGGAAAATCTTGGGTATTTTTGTTTTTTATTTCATGGTATCAAGTGTGTACGTTTAAATATATCTTTAGTTCTTTTTCCTCGGTTTCTGAAAAAACATCGATATTTTCGTGTTGTGTTTTATGTGTTAATAATCCGTTTGTTTATATTTTATCGACGTTGAAGCTCGAAATTCATGGAAACATTTTTCATTGCAGCAGGACAGAAACCACGAATAATGTGATATATCTGTCATCACTGTAACTGTTTAAGGCTGTGTGCTTGAGAACCGACATCTGGGACCGTAGGTGTATGACGTGCTCGATTACGGAGACTAAAGCTTATAGAACATGGGCACAATTGGGAACGTCATAATCATATCCAATATTTCGTTCTTTTTGTCTGTGTCTAATTTGGAATAAGGATGCAAAGAAAAGATACATTTAAGCACTCCATCAAAATTAAATCGTCTTCAAGCCTTTATAAAAACCATGAACATTTGAACTACATTTACAGAATACAATGGAGTGTTCTAAAACGATAGAAAATTTACAGTATATAACAATGGTTGTACATTTATAGTATATAACGGTGTATTCTACAATGGTTGTACATTAATAGTATATAACGGTGTATTCTACAATGGTTGTACATTTACAGTATATAACGGAGTATTCTACAATGGTTGTACATTTACAGTATATAACGGTGTATTCTACAATGGTTGTACATTTACAGTATATAACGGAGTATTCTACAATGGTTGTACATTTACAGTATATAACGGAGTATTCTACAATGGTTGTACATTTACAGTATATAACGGAGTATTCTACAATGGTTGTACATTTACAGTATATAACGGTGTATTCTACAATGGTTGTACATTTACAGTATATAACGGAGTATTCTACAATGGTTGTACATTTACAGTATATAACGGATTATTCTACAATGGTTGTACATTTACAGTATATAACGGAGTATTCTACAATGGTTGTACATTTACAGTATATAACGGTGTATTCTACAATGGTTGTACATTTATAGTATATAACGGTGTATTCTACAATGCTAGTACATTTATAGTATATAACGGTGTATTCTACAATAGTAGTAGTACTTTTACAATATATAACGGTGTATTCTACAATGGTGGTACATTTATAGTATATAACGATGTATTCTACAATGGTTGTACATTTGTAGTATATAACGGTGTATTCTACAATGCTAGTACATTTATAGTATATAACGGTGTATTCTACAATAGTAGTAGTACTTTTACAATATATAACGGTGTATTCTACAATGGTGGTACATTTATAGTATATAACGATGTATTCTACAATGCTAGTACATTTATAGTATATAACGGTGTATTCTACAATAGTAGTACATTTACAGTATTTAACGGTGTATTCTACAATAGTAGTAGTACTTTTACAATATATAACGGTGTATTCTACAATGGTTGTACATTTATAGTATAAAACGGTGTATTCTACAATAGTAGTACATTTACAGTATTTAACTGTGTATTCTACAATAGTAGTACATTTATAGTATATAACGGTGTATTCTACAATGGTTGTACATTGATAGTATATAACGGTGTATTCTACAATGGTTGTACATTTATAGTATATAACGGTATATTCTACAATGGTTGTACATTTATAGTATATAACGGTGTATTCTGCAATAGTAGTAGTACTTTTACAGTATATAACGGTGTATTCTACAATGGTTGTACATTTACAGTATATAACGGTGTATTCTACAATGGTAGTAGTACATTTACAGTATATAACGGTGTATTCTACAATGGTAGTAGTACTTTTACAGTATATAACGGTGTATTCTACAATGGTTGTACATTTATAGTATATAACGGTGTATTCTACAATGGTTGTACATTTACAGTATATAACGGTGTATTCTACAATGGTTGTACATTTATAGTATATAACGGTGTATTCTACAATAGTAGTAGTACTTTTACAGTGTATAACGGTGTATTCTACAATGGTTGTACATTTACAGTATATAACGGTGTATTCTACAATGGTTGTACATTTACAGTATTTAACGGTGTATTCTACAATAGTAGTACATTTACAGTATATAACGGTGTATTATACAATGGTTGTACATTTACAGTATATAACGGTGTATTCTACAATGGTAGTACATTTACAGTATATAAC